CCCTTCCTTTCTTTCCTTCCTTCCTTCCTTCCTTCCTTCCTTCCTTCCTTCCTTCCTTCCTTCCTTCCTTCCTTCCTTCCTTTCTTTCCTTTCCTTTCTTCCTTCCTTTCCTTCCTTCCTTCCTTTCTTTCCTTTCCTTTCTTCCTTCCCTTCCTTCCTTCCTTCCTTCCTTCCTTCCTTCCTTCCTTCCTTCCTTCCTTCCTTCTCTGCCTTCCTGCCTTCCTGCCTGCCTGCCTGCAGCTGGCCGATGCGTGGATCTGAACCCATGACACCACACTTTAACCAACTGAGCAACTGGCCACACCGGGGGGTAATACCTTTTAGAACTGGGGAAATGCTTAACACTCCTTTTGTCCTTAGCTTTTGACTTTAGCTGGCAATTGGGGGCCACAGAGAAAGTCCCACTTAACATCCTGCTGCATTATTTATATAGAACAGTGCTGCAGACTTCTACTTTGAGGGGAATATTCATCCATCTCTGCAGAACATAACTGAAAACCAGCTGGTACAACCTGCTGTTCTCCAGCAAAAGGGAGGAAAAGGTATGTTGATCCATCATTCCTTGTACAGGTAAAAGACCAGATCTTCCTCACAGCAGTTTTAAGGGGATTTTATATCTGAGTTTAGAATTGTATTTGCAAAATATTCCCTTATCATGATTGAGAATAATTTAACGAACTGAATTACTCCAAGCTGTTCATCTTGGGTAAGACTTCTTGCTTCACAAAGATGTGAAGCCACAAAGTGTCACTTAGCTCAAATAAAGCTATATCTATGGATAATGTGTACATATTTTAGTTATAGAAGGGAGAACTTTTCCATAAGCTATTGTAGCAATCGTATTCCAATTGTGAAGCTCTTGGGATAGAGACCTTCTTCTCTATTAAAAGTTTTCTGCAAAAGGCATTTCCTAATAATCCAATGTTTCACAAATTTGAAATTATGATTTCATAAATTTAAAATGGTGATGGTCTCTCTTAAAAGACTGGCAAAAATGTTAAAGTAGGATAGTAACCCCTGTTGGCTAAGATGTGGGCCACGCACATTCTCAGGCACTATTGGAGGGAGTGTCATTTGGTACAACATTCTGTAGGGCAATTTGGAAGTTCCTATGAAAATTTTAAATATTCATACCTTTTGACTCTTTTGGACTATATGACTCAGTGGCTGAGTGTGAGGTCTGTATTAATTGTGTAAGTGGGCAAATAGTTTCACCTTCTGTACCAGTTTTTTAGTTCGAAAAACAAATAATAATAATTGTACCAACATTGTAAGATTGGTGTAAAAATTAAATGAGAAAACCCATGTAAAGCACCATGCTCACAGCCTAGCACTATGGATAATTTCTCAACATACCATAGGTGTGTGTGTGTGCGTGTACATGTATGTATTAGGATATTCGTTGCAGTGTTGTTTGTGATAGCAGGAAAATGAGAACTCACCTATATTTGTTGGTGTATAAGATATGGAAATATATTAAGATGTATCCCAATTTTACAATGTAATTTTTAAATGATACATTATCATAGTTATTTTAAATTATTTTAAATGAATATTTTTTGAAAAACTACCTAGAATCATAAAATTCTAAATATGCAGTCATATTCTAACTGAGCAAGGAATAATTCCTGAAATCACACAGATAAAATAAACACATTGTATCACTGAATATTGGTATTGAATATTGAACTAGTAATTTAGTAGAAGTTTAATATAAGGAGAATAACACTTCTACCTATGTTTAGCTGTTTAGCTTATCATATACTTTTTTCCTAAAACAGACAAACTCGGGTGTGAAGCCTGTATCTTTCTATCAATGTTTTGTGTTGCGGGGCTTTGCCATTAGGGGACACTTCACCACCATTTTCTGTTTTTCGATTTTAGTCTTCCACCTGAAATAGGGATGAAACAGAATGAAATTTCAAAATATTTTGGGTTTTTATTCTTTGGAGAAAAATAGTACACTCATAAAATAGAACATAGATAACTATGAAAAGGCATGAAGGCAATCCTTATGAGTTGATATGGAAAGAACTCTAAAATATATTTTACTTTTTGTTTTAATCCTTTTTAATTTCATAATTAAAAAGTAATAATGCTCATTAAATTTTTAAAATTCAAGCAATTCAGAAGTATGTAGAGAATAAATGAAAGTAATTCCTTCTCTTTGCTTCCAAGCTGTGCCCCAGAAGCAATCATTGTTAACAATTTGGTATTTAATCTATCTATAGTTAATCTCTATATTGTTCTGTGATTTATTTAAGATATAATATTTACTGAAGGGCCGGCCCGTGGCTCACTCGGGAGAGTGTGGTGCTGATAACACCAAGGCCACGGGTTCGGATCCCATATAGGGATGGCCGGTTTGCTCACTGGGTGAGCATGGTGCTGACAACACCAAGTCAAGGGTTAAGATCCCCTTACCGGTCATCTTTAAAAATATATATATATATTTACTGAAGAGGGTGCAAAAGAATATAATCCCATTTGTAATTTTAAAGGATATGTATATGTTTGTATGTGCAGAAAAGGAAATGGAAGTAATGTAGGATAGACTAGAACTTTTACTTTCACTCTGTGCTTCTGTTTGAATCTTTTACTACGAACATATAATACTTTTATTTTAAAAAAATAAAAATGTAAACGTTTAAAAATTTTAAAAGTTAATTTTGTAAATTTTAAAAGATAATCCATTAAAATTGACTTGACCACAGGATGAGAGGCAGAACGGTTTGGTTTAAGGCTGTGACTTTAATTCATGTTGTGTTTTTGGTAAGTCCCTTTCATTTCCCAATTCATAAACTCAAGATAATATAATGCAAAAGATAATCTTTGCAAAAACGTTTGAGGTTTTTGGATGAACGATGACTGATGCAAACACTGTTACTCCCTAGAGACTGTTTAAAGCAGTTTAGGAACCCACTATTCTACTTCCTGCAGGGGAAAATGGAATTTGGCTGTGGCTTTTTTTTAGCTACTAACATCTGGTGGGACATGGTATTTACAGGCTAATTCAGAAGTCACAAAATGGGCTGTCTGTCACCTTCGTTCTCAAGAGCAGCTCTCTGTTAGGCCAAAGAAATTGTAGCCACTGAACAAGCAAAGATCACACAATTTCTCAAATTTCTCATCTACTTATTTTGAAAAATAAATGGCTGCGTTTCTAAAAAGAAAAACTCTGGTAGCACCATTTTATTTCACAGCAATGAAAAATATCACAGTGCCCATTATCATTGCTCATAAATAATGTCAAAATGGCATGAAACATTTTGGGCATTTCCTCTCCAGTTTTTTCTATTTTTTTTTTTTTTTTTGAGTAATCGTGCAGACCTAGAGTTAGCATTTCCCCCTAAGTCTTTGGTATTAATTTCCCTAATATTACCTTACATTTGCATACTATTTTGCGTTTTTCAAAGTGTATTTGCATCCCTCACCTCATTTGACTTAACTCATGTGAACAAAGCCTCTTCAAATGACTTGCTTTCTGAAAATGGCTTTTTGAGGTTTCTCTTTAAAACCAATAAACTTTGCAGTATATTTTGCTCAGTTTGGTTGTTCTGTAGAAAGTTTAACATATGACATAAAACTAGTAGTCAAGATCTAACTGGAAAGACAGACTACATGACAAACAGAACTCCAGGTAAAGAGGCTCCAGGCTTCCTTTTTCCAGTGAACAACAGTTCGAATTTTTGACAACTTCCCCAACAAAGAAAATCCAGTGGGAACTTTTATAGGCCCAATAGATCCCTGGCCATTTCTGCATTCTTCTTTTTTTTTTTTTTGGTAGTAGGATCTGAACTCTTGACCTTGGTGTTATAACACTGTACCCTAACCAACTGAGTAACTGGCCACCCCCCATAAATGCATTCTTTTTTTTTTTCACATAGTGGAACTATAAATACATTCTTAAGGAGCTGAGTAGGGGGAGAAGCCCCATCTCCAGTGCAGCTCTTAAGTCTCTAGTTATGCAACACACCCTGCCTGAGGATGTTCTCTGTGTGCCACCATGGTGGAGTCTGATGCTCTTTACCTCCATTTTAGGCAGGAAGAAGCTCCGACTGTTTGAATATCTTCACGAATCCCTGTGTAATCCTGAGATGGCATCTTGCATTCAGTGGGTCGATAGAACCAAAGGCATCTTTCAGTTTGTATCAAAAAACAAAGAAAAACTTGCTGAACTTTGGGGCAAAAGAAAAGGCAACCGGAAGATCATGACTTACCAGAAAATGGCCAGGGCACTGAGGAATTATGGAAGAACTGGAGAAATCATCAAAATCCGGAGAAAGCTAACTTACCAATTCAGTGAAGCCGTTCTCCAAAGACTCTCTCCATCTTATTTCTTGGGGAAAGAAATCTACTCACAGTATGCTCAACCTGATCAAGAGTATCTCAGTTTAAATAATTGGAATGCAAATTACAATTATACATATGCTAATTACCATGAGCTAAGTCACCCTGGTTGCTAAATATACTCTCCCATTTTATGGTTTCCTGTCATTAGAAATCCCTACATGCGTCGGGATTTTTCTCTTAAAGCTGATACTGAAGAGAATAAAAAACAACCAACTTTACTGTTGTTATCTTATCAAATAGCATAAATGTATACTACCTTGATGGGAAATTCTCCCAATGAACAACATGATTGTTTCAAACGATCAAGCCCCATTTGAAAATATAGACTAAATGTTCTTGCTCTATTCCCTGTGCAACCACTTTCTTCTACATTAACAATGCCAGTACAGATGATTCAATTTAATATTGATTTAAGTATTTCCCTGTCATATGCTCAGGTAAAAAATCACTTTAACATATATCTGATGAATTTACAAAAAACGTTTACAAAAAACGATTACATATGACACAGTGTTCTTGCCCACAATACGTTCATGGCTTTTAAAACTTCGGTAGAAATGTCTATTCAGGTCCGTTGCCCACCATCCTGCCCCCTTTTTTTCTCTTTATATAAAATACAACCAAATTTTTATTTTATTTTATTGAAGAGCCTGAGATCTGAACCTTGTCCATTTATGATTTTTTATTTATTGTTTTGACGTCTATCCCTCGCCCGTTTTTTAATTGGGGTTTTTTTTTTTTTGTCTTCTTGCTATTGAGTTGTTTGAGCTCCTTATATATTTTGAATATTAATCCCTAATTGGACGTAAGGCTTGCAAATATATTCTCCCAATCTGTAGGTTGTCTCTGCACACTGCTGTTTTCCTTTCTGTGCAGAAGGCTTTTAGTTTGTAATCCTCTTTGTCTATTTTTGCTTTTGTTGCCTGTGCTTTTGGGATGATATCCAAAATTTTATTGCCCAGATCATTGTCATGTAGTTTTTCCCCCTGCATTTTCTTCTAGTAATTTTAGAGTTTCTGGTCTTAACATTTAAGTCTTTAATCCATTTTGATTTGATTTTTTAATATGGTGTGAGATAAGGGTCCAATTTCATTCTTCTGCATGTGGAAAATTCACTTTTGCCAATACCATCTATTGAAGAGACTGTCCTTTTCTCATTCTGTATTCTTGGCACCTTTGTCAAAAATCAGTTGACCATACATGTGTGGATCCATTTCTGAGCTCTATTCTATTCCACTGGTCAATGTGTCTATTTTTCCCCCCAATACCATGCTGTTTTAATTGCCATAGTTTTATAATATAGTTTGAAACCAGGTAGTATGATACCTGCACCTTTATTTTTTTTGCTCCTAATTGCCTTGGCTATTTGGGGTTTCTTGTGATTTCATATGAATTTTAGTATTTTTTTTTCTATTTCTATGAAAAATGACATTGAGATTTTGATAGGGATTGCTTTGAATCTATAGATCATTTTGGGTAGTATGGATATTTTAATAATATTAATTGTTTCATTCCATAAACAGGGAATATCTTTCCATTTATTCATGTCTTCAATTTCTTTCATCAATGTTTTATAGTGTTCAGTGTACAAGTCTTTTGCCTTTTTGGTTAAATTTATTCCTGAGTTGGTTTCTGTTTGTTTTGTTTTTTGTGGGTTTTGTTTGTTTGTTTGTTTGTTTTTATAGCTTTTGTGAATGGGATTTGCTCTTGATTTCTTTTTCAGATAGTTTATTGCTAGTGTATAAAAAAGCTACTGATTTTTGTGTTTTCATTTTGTAGCCTGCAACTTCACTGTTTTTGTTTTGTTACTAATTCTAACAGTTTTTTTGGTAGAGTCTTTAGGGTTTTCTATATATAAGATTATGTCATGGGCCGGCCCGGTGGCGTACTGGATAGTGCGCCGCTTGGGAAGCGCGGCGGCGCTCCCGCCCGAGGGTTCGGATCCCACATACAGACCGGTTCCCGCTCACTGGCTGAGCGAGGCGTGGGGGCAACACCGAGGGTTGCGATCCCGTTGTGGGTCCCGGTCCAGTCCGGGGGCGACACTGAGGGCTGCGATCCGTTGCCGGTCACGGAAAAAAAAAAAAAAAAAAAAAAAAAAAAAAAAAGATTATGTCATCAGC